CGTGTAGTAGATTCGATATATCAATAAGTCGATAGCGTATAATAACGGACGATGCGCGGCCGCGAGTTTGGCGCGCAGCCAGAAGTCGGTGCGCAGTCGTGCCGTTACAACAGGAGATATTGCGTCCACGACGTCAGCCGCGGCTCCCGGGGCCCCCCTTATGTTGGCAGGTCGAGGCCTTGCCAACCTTCCCCAAAACGACCGCACTCCTGAAAGTAGCCTAGCAAACCGCTTTTGGCCCTCGCCTGCCGGCGCTCCCCCGCCTCCATTCTCCGGCACAACAGCGTTGACGTCATCCGGTAGATTTGCACCTGTCTCTTCCATGTCATGCTTATTGTCCTCATCATCTGCGCCCGCAGAAATTGGCTCTTCTTTCCCGAGGCGGCCAACGGGCAAGGCTGACATCGATGGGCCAGGGTCAACCATCTCCGAAAGCGCACCTTCCCGTTTTAGTGCTGACTGAGCCGCTACTACGCACCGACCACTGTGATTTGCGGCTCCGGCGTCCCAAATTGTTGTGCCACCGCTAGAGGATGTCGCGCCGGCCTTGCCAGTGACAGGGTTCGCCCCTTCTGCGAAGCTCTCAGCCTCATTTTCTTGACCGCTTCCTTCGGGAATTTTAGATTTTCGTGACGGAACAAGAAGCGGAGGGGAAGGCCCGGCCCTGTCCCCATCGCCTGTGACCTTGCTTTTCTGCGGCGCCTCCATATTGGCTTTCTCTTGCGCCTCTCTAGCTTTTGTCTGCTCCTTCCACTTTCTTTGCGAAGCCATGTACTCCTTGTATCTCTCATTCAGAATCTCCTGGGCCACGTCAGATTCATACCTGCTCAATAGCGTTTCCAGCGGCGTTTTGAAGAAGGCCTCTTGCACCGCCTGCTTTAAGCGCTTCACCTTTGCTTTCCGCTTATTGTACTCGTCAATCTGCTTGGAGGTCACGTCCTGGACCTCTCTAAGAAGCGCGGGTTGATTCCGAGGTATCCCGAGTGAACGCTTGCCGTGATGTTGAGTTGGCAGCGAGGATACTCTTCTCTTGTCGTCACATAAACCGTCTTGAACGCCTGCAAAAGGAGAGGTCTAAACTTCAGCATGTTAATCACACAATAGATCTCATGCCCGAGGTGAAACTTGAAGCCCTGGTGACTGCCCGGTAGACTATGCTCGACCATAAGCAGGCATGCTACACTCAAGAAGCATTTCTGAGAAGCTGTATCAGGGAATGAGTCTCCCAGCTTCTTCTGCAAAGAGCAGATGCTCTTTGCAGAAGACCAGCAGTAGCTAGGGTTTCCAGTGCTCAATCGGAGTCATAAACATTCCGAAGGCGTACTAAGTGTTCACCGCAGGAGAAACTTGCAACATCTCCAAGCACGCAAAGGTCATATCAAATTGTGTGAGCCTGAAGCAGATTGGCTGGAAAGTAGGATGCTCTTCTTTTGTTTGGTCAAAATGTGTGCCAGTCTCGAATATTTGGCTGGCCTTGGAAACTCTGCTTGAGAACCTTATGAAGAAAGTCAAGGGTAAGGGTATAGAAGCAGGGCAGCGATGTCATTCATTGTCATTCAAAAGTGATCAGTGCATTTACCTGCTCAGACTGCTCCTTCTCCAACTTGGAGGACTGGACTGACGCTTGCACGTATGGCACCACCACAGCAAGGTCGGCGGACGAGAAGCCGCTTTCTGCGAGGTACCTGCACACGACCAGCTCCCTTGTGTTGCTTCAATTGTCCGCGCTTTTGCTCCACAATGACCAATTCACTACTTCTGTAAAGGCTGTAACTTTAGAGGATTGGGCAGTCGCCCTCTTATGTCTCGAAGTTTGTGGCTTCACATTTGAATCAAGCAACAGCAAGCTCACACCTTTTTGCAAACGCGTCACCGAGCAGAAAGTTGTAAGAAGCACTCTGACTCCCCTCATGGGAGGGGTGACACAAGATCCGTATCTTCAAATGCTAGCGATGCAAGAAAATATCACACTTGAGTTTGTAACAATAAGAGCTGGGGGTTAGCAAATCTCACTATTTAACCAAACTCTTGCCTATTGCAACATGTCAGAAATGGTCTCAAGAAAGGTCAGAGCAGCCACTAGCAGGAAACATGAGATGCTCAAGAAAATTTCCGCATAGGTTGCGAAAAACAATTCAACACCTTTTGGGATGGACTTGGCAAATGGTGGTATCCAATCGGTAGATGACTGAGGAAAAAAGGTCCTTCACCATCACAAGAAAGTTCTTGCAGGGTTACGGGTCTGCACAAAGCATCAAGCTTTGACTTACTTTCGTCGCTCCGTGTATGTTTCCTCTTCCACTTTCCGGATTTTGTCGTCCACTATAAACGCTGGCTTCTCAGGGAATGGACGACCTTCTTGATCATGTCTCCCACGCTGAACGATGAAGAGGGGGATTCCAGCTGGGGTTGGGTGCTCGGACTCCAGATCATAGGCCTGCATGAAAACAGGAAAAGCTTGGCTGCCCTCTTCCATCTTCAAACCGTCATATAGTAGTGCACTATTGGAAGTGCCTCCTTTCAGATTTCAGATTATCTACCCAACTCTTTCTCCAATCTGAGAATTAACACCTGGTGGAAAAGATAAGAGTTCGCAATTTCCCAGATTATGGAGAGTGTATTGACAATGGCGGAGCTGGGTGACATCCCTGCATTGCAGTTCAATACGCAGAGCAGACATTAGAGTAGCAAGTGAAAATTGTTTGCTAGGGAGAAGGTAGGAGCAATTGCCCTTTCCAAACTCAAACCAGCCTTTCACTAGAAAGCTCATTCAGGTATACCCGTCTAGCTGCTCTTTATATTCAAGGCCAAGCACCCCTTGTGCTAGGATGGCCTTTTCTGCAGCATGGAGGACTCTGGGTAAAAACCCTCATCATGGCTCTGCTCATCTGGTGCTCCTCAGGTTCAGGCAACATGCGTCACTTGCAACCTGGCGGGCCAATCGCCCAGTCACATGTTGAGAACCAATTCGTGAGAGTCTGCTGGTGAAGTCTTACTCTCAAGCTGTCTGCGCAGGCTTGGACATAATGTAAAATGCAGCAAGCTTTGAAGCATTGCAAAAGGTCATGTTAAGTGCATCCAAAATACATTGTCCAGACTCTGATAACAAACTTAAGCTTCAAAGGCAGCACCTTTGCCCTCACCTGGCACAATCCAGTCGTCTCAAACAGGTGCACCCATTCGTCAGGTGAGATCTTTGGTACTGAGATGACTTCGGCCGCCTTCTTCTCGTCAGGCCCCTTGTCGGCTGGTTCATGCTTTGCTTTATCTATCATGCTTGCTAGAGCATTCTGACGCGTTTTCAGGTTGAGCAGGCCCGAGGCCAGGTGGCAACCAGGCTGGACACGTTTATAATCGGGCAAAGTTAAAATGCTGACGTCGCATAATTTGCCAACGGTCGTTGAATCGTGAAATTCAAACTGCGACCGTGGGGCGCATCATTTTGAACACTGAAATGGCCGCTCCCGCAAGCAATTGCAGCATCAAATCTTCACCAAATCTGGCGGTGTCAAGCTTGTTCGCCTGGAACAGGCCCCGCTGGGACGCGCTCCTTTTTCCAGCTTCAAAAACGTCCAAAAACAAGGCCTGTAAGCGCAAGAATGGTGCGGTTGCCTTATAGGAGCTATTTTAGCTCGTTTTGAGAGCTGTAAAAACGGGCGCCCTCTCTTGAGGCCTCTATGTGGCGACTGAGCTTGGCACCGCCAGCAAAGAGCATGATGTGGCCAACCAATAAGGTAGGCAAGAGCCATTTCTGCAGTGCCAAAAGCTTGCGCCCCATGAGAGAACTTGGACTTCTCTTGAGAAGTTCAAGTTCTGAGGACGGCCGGCATCCCGGCCGAATTTATAGGTGGCGGGTGGTGGTCCGAGCTACCCGGGCAAACAACCTGAAACTACAACTCCTAACCAAAAGAAACACCAGCTCCGCACCCGAACCCACCCTAACCACCAAACCAACCCTACCCGTCTCCCGGGCGCCTATTCTAAGTGTACTCTTGACGAGTCTTGAGTGAAAGTGGAGTCTCGTTTTAATATGACTCCATGTACCGTATGCGGCGGCGTGAGCCATCATTGCGCACTTACTGCTCGCTTTTGAGTCAGTCTAACAGTTAACTAGCAATTCGGCAGCTCATATAAAATTGTCCGATTCTAATATCGGACGGCTGTAGGACGGTTTCGTCAAGGTTGGAGGATTTTGTCGACCTCGGATTCCCGAACCTTGCGCCGCGATTCCCGCCCACAAGATGAGTCGTTGGTCATCGGATGTTGACAGCAAGTCTCAAACCCCGAATCGCACTCAGGTATCAGCTCGCCGGCCGCGGCCGCGCGCATACACACACTGGCAAGGAGGATCAGTTTCGATATTCAATCATGCGTCGGTGAGTGGTAGCCTGTAGGTCGTAACTCTCATCATTATGGGTCTGTAATGATTTGAATGATAGTTTACTGAATGTGCACAATCTTGTACCAGCTTGGGCGCTACCAGATCTGCTAGAGGCAAAGGCCCGGGAAGCAAAACAACAATCCATGGGGGCATGATCGTGACATGATTTATAAATGATATCAAAAACAGCAGTAAGAGTAGTTAGACGCTGTTTGATCGATACCGATCTGGCTGCTCAGCTCATTCATTTATTAATTCACATACCCAGCGACAATCTATATAAAGCTCGTGTGCATGGTCTTTAGAGTAAACTGCCAGGTATTCAGGTATATGGATATAGCAAGGCTGAGACGGGTAAGGGTAATAAGGTCGTTAGGGTGGGTACGGGTGCGGAGCGGGTGATACTTTGGAATCTGAATCAAGCTTTGTAGTGTTAGCTTCGTTCTTACTACAAGTTCAGCGGCCTGCCTACTATATACTTAGTCTAAGAGAGGTATCTCACGTGCCTATGGTCAACGGCCAGTTTTGGCATCATGCGCAGGGTCCGAGTTCAGAGGCCTCAGCTTCAAGTTTTATGCATGATAATGTCGATCGTGACATTGATCTTGCAGAAGACGGAATCAGTCAAGCCGCTGAGCGCCGGCTAGCTCGCAACCACAAGTTGTGCAGCCGCACCGAACGCCGTTGCATGATGATGAGCCCAGGCGGCCAGATTATGCAACCGCAGCTAGACACCTCGCCCGAGACCCGACTTGCACAACGCGATCATTGAATCATGCATTACAACGCAGATTAGTCTCTGAACTCAGAATTGCTTCAACTCACACGTTGTTTTACAAGATACAAACCGTACCGCTGGCTAGCCACGCCACAACTGTGGCACAACATCTAAACAGCGCAGATCTTCGCAACTAAAGTTGAGACTTAAATCACTCATTACATAGCATGCAAACCTGTAGCGCTTGAGATTATTCTACTGAAGTGTGTGTATATTCTTTGAAGTTCTATCCGTTTCCTCTCTCCCTATATCGAGTTTGCATCTGCCTTTCTTCTCTAGGGCTACTCCTTTCGAGCTCCTTCAAGACTTCTTCTCAGTGTCCTGTTCAAACGCTCCCTCATTTCTTCCTCATGCGCTTCCAAAGGAAGCCGCCCTGTTTAACGTGTACTCGTCTTCAGGTCCACACAAGGCAGATGCCCATTGAGCTTCCCCTTCTTCGCTGAGTATCGTCGCGCACCTTTCCAATGCGACCTCAATGCCCCCTCAATGCCGTCCTTTCAAACCTCTCCTTTGGCTCCGATCGATTGCACTGCTCTCCGTTTACCATTGCTCTCACAAGATTTCCCTATCCCGAACAGTGATTCCGCTGCCCTTCACTCCTACTCCGTTTCCTGCAAACACCCCCGCGCTTTCAAACCCCTAGATCCGCTTCAGAACATACTCCAGGGTCGCGAGGACAAACTCGTCCACTTTGCTCTCCGGCCCCGAAGCCTCCACTTTACACAGAGCGCCGCTCAGAACCCTTTTCTGATCCCCAGGATCCAGCCGACTCACGAGCTCCTTCAAATGAGTGACAAGCTCCTCATAGACTGTCTCCACCATAGCTGCGCTAAGTCCGCCCGTACCGAGGGTACGTACCGTCCGCAGGCAGACCGCAACCGTGTCGGCCAGGGTTCCGACCGGCGCCTCAAAACCCTGCGGCGCCGAAGCCGCGGCCGCGGCAGAACCCCCGCCAACCTCTGAACCCCCGGACTTAACGGCCAAAGCCGCCGCGCGTAACTCCTCGAAAGAAAAGCTCTCTGTATCTTCGCTTGGAAGTGGAGCGCCCTCAAAGAGGGATCCCCCCGAACCGCCCCCGAAGCCGAAACCGCCCCCAAAAGGGGATCCCCCCGAATCGTCCCCGGTAGACGCCCCAAAGATGTTTGGCCCGGTCGGTGAGGCGCCGGAGGTTTGCCCGGTCGAAGCGCTGTGAGTGCCCGGGGCTGGGGAACCGAAGGGGGACGATCCAAAGGCCGGGACGGAAGCGGAACCGGACGTTTGAACGGGGAGAGGCGCGTTTCCAAGAACGGTGAAAGGCGAGGGTTCGCCAAAGGGGGATCCGCTAAGTTTGGGGTTTCCGAAAGGTGCGGAGGAGGGGGCACCGAAATTGGGAGTGGGAGCTGACGAGCCAAAGGCTGAAGAAGTGGGGGTTGTTGCCGGTGGGCCGAAGACAGATCCTGTCGCCGTTGCAGCGAAGAATGACCTCCCCGAACCGGAACTGGCAGCCGTTGAACCAAAGTGCGAGTTCCCCCACCCAAAAGCGGGTGTTGTTGCACCAAAGAATGACCCCCGGGCCGAACCGGAAATGGCAGTCGTTGAACCGAAGCCTGACGTCACTGTCCCTGAACCGAAAGTCGGAGACGGAGATCCGAAGGCTGACCCCGACCAAGTAGCGGCAGCAGTGGAGCCAAAGAGTGCCCCCCCCCCGCCGAAGGCTGGGGTTGGACCAAAGGCTGATCCGGTCCCCTGTCCAAACGTTCCGCTGGTTTTCTGACCGAAGGGGCTATTTTGCTCCCCCGAGTCTGCGCCCCAGGTCGACTTCCGAGCTGGGCCGAACGCACTTGGGTTAGAAAACCCGGTTGACGCTTCGCGCGAAGCGGTAACCGAGGCTCCAAACCCGGAAGAATGGTTGCCACCAAAGATTGGAGACGGGTGGCCGAAACAGGGACCGGAAAAAGTACCAAACGGAGCGCCTTGGGGGGTTTGGCTGGCGCCAAAAAGGCCTGCGGAGGGAGGGCCGTAACTAGCTGGGGGAGGGGAAAAGCTCGGGCTAAGACTGACGAAGTTCCACCCGGCCGGTGCGTCCACCGGCTGCGTGACACGTGTCAGCGCCCCGTCGACTTTCTCCGCCCGATCGACGGCCACGAAAGCCGTGAAGCGGCTCAGGACCTGGAAGCGCAGCGACGTTTCCAGGATGCGCGCGCGCAGCTCGTCGGGATTTGGGGTTTGGGACGCGCGCGGCGCGGCCGCGACGGCAAACTGATCGTCCAGGTCGCAGATCCGCGCGCGCGCCCACAGTGCACGCAGGGCGGGGTTTAGGGTTTGTTGCGCAAGCACAATCTCCGTTCCGTTTTCCCCGGCCGCTGTCTTTCCGGTTACCGTTACGTAAATCGACTCCTCCACAGGCCCAGTCTCTTCCCCCGTGTTCTCGGGTTTACCGCTAATCTGCCCGCTTCCCCGGCTAACCTGCCCGGTTTCGCTCTCTGAACAGTCGACTTCGCCGTTAACCTGCCCGGTTTCCCCCTCGGTTTGGTCGACCGAACCACTAACCTGCCCGCTTCCCTTGCTAACCTGCCCGGTTTGCCCCTCTTCGCCGTTAATTCTGGTTTCCATCTCCGAACCCCCGTAACCCCTCTTCCTGTACCGTCCACTAACCACGACCGGTACCCCGGGGAAAAGCCCCGGCAAGCTACTCGGTGTCACAGTGTGCGCGAGCGGCTCGACGCCGCGGCCGCGCGGTCCGTCGATTTGGACGTCCGTGAGAAGGGGCGCGCATATAAGCCGGTGGATGCGGTCCATAGCATATCGGAGGCGGCCCTGGCTTTCGACGAGCTCGCAAGCGCCCCCCGGGGAAAGGGCGGCGAGGCGACGGAGGAAGGCCTCGTTGACGGACTGGTCGATGCCCAGGGTAAAGATGCGGACGCCCTGCAAACATATACTAGGAAAAAGTTGAGTTGGCTAGCAATCTGGACTTTGCACGACAATCGACTTGAACGAGTTCGTACGTAATCAGGATTGACGTACACAGCCCTAGCCACCATCAAAACGTAACTTTGTTTCAGTGGTGTTCAACCGGAATGGCATCAATTGAAAGATTATTTTTATTGACCGCAGATACATCTGACTATCTGATGCGTTGCGGTTGAGAGCAGAATGATCGAAAACCGACTTGAAAAGCAAAAGCTGAATCTGACAAATAGGTACTTTTCTTACTGCATGCAATGAAACTTTTCTTCTTATCTGTACAAGACCCTTCAGGTACTTCAAATCTGACAAACGTCCGTCCAGAAAACAATGGTGGCAATCAACAGCAGACACAAAGACACTTGCGTCAACTCAAGAGACGCTTCAAGTTGAACTCGAGGGAACTGACGGGGAGGTTGAGCGCCGTGCGTTGACACAACATGGGCGGACCTGGCGGACCTCCCAGCTTACAGGCGTAGCTAGTCGAGATTGAAAATCATCATCTCATTTGTTCACGAAAAGTGACTGTAAGACACTACCCCCAAGTACCGCGGAATCTGGATTGATACTGATCAAGCAAATCGTTAGAGTGAAAACAAGGCCCCAAGCGGAGGAAGAAAGGGCACGTCCGGTGACATTCCTTCCTCCTCCATCCCCGGCAGCTATAGAACAGAATAACAAAGCAGACAGAAGGACGGAAGCACGGAACAACGGAAAAGGGGGTTTTGAGATGAACACCATTCACCTGCAGCTTCGGCGCCAGCTGTCCCAGGATCCAGTCCTCGTTCCCGACCTGACCGTCCGTAACCAGCACCATAATCCGGTCCCTAACCGGCGCGTCCTCCACCCCGCGCGCCGGCCAAAATCCGCCGGAATCCTCCGCCGGCGCGGCCGAAACTCCCAAACCCCGGAGCGCGTCCGCGGCCGCGAGCAGCGGCGCGGCCATCTCGGTGCCCCCCCTTGCGGTCAAGTTGGAAAGAAAGGTCGCCGCTCTCTGGCGGTTGTTTTGACTGGCGGGTACTAAATTCGCGGCGTTTGAACCTGGGTTTGTCGGGGGAGAATGAACCACCAGTTGACTTAACAGACTTAGCGGGGGGTGGGTTATGGGGGCGTTCGTGAAGGGGGTCCCGCCGAAAAGGCTTGTTTGTGGGGGGGTGGCGCTCGTCTGACCGAAGAGGCCACAGTGGGGGGGTGCACCGAACGCCTTCGTAGAGGGGGTGTGAGCAAAGAGGCTAGTCTGGAGGGTGGCTGTCGGAGGGAGCGGTTGACCGAAGATGCTGGTATGGGGGGGTGCGCCGAACGTCGTTGTAGAGGGGGGCTGGCCGAAGAGGCCGGTTTGGGGGGGTGCGCCGAACGTCGTTGTAGAGGGGGGCTGGCCAACGAGGCCTGTTTGGGGGGGTCCGCCAAAAGTGGTCGCAGAAGGGGTCTTTCCGAAGGGGCTGGTTTGGGGCGGTCCGCTGGTTGCTGCTGTAGGAGCCAGTTGATCGAAGGCCCTCGTTTGGGTGGTTCCGCCAAATGCATTCAAACAGGGACTTTTGCCGAAGATGCTTGTTTGGCCGAATGCACTTGTAGAGGCCGGTTGACCGAAGGCGCTCCTTTGAGGGAAAGACGAGGAACCCCACTGATCGCTCGAAGGCGTTCCCGTGGTGAAGAGGGGGCTCTCGATGCTGTTGTCGAAGGCGAGAACCGTGAAGTTGTCCTCATCCGACAATCTATTGACCTGTTGACAAAAGATGAGAAAAGACGGATGTCAATCAAAGCCTTGAGCTTCTTTTTCCATTTGGGAAGAAGTCAGGGTATGAATTTTGAACGACTGTTCCTGAGCTTTTTATTGGGTTGAGTGTAATCGAAGCTGCAAGGTTCCGGACCCAAGCAGCTGTTCCTAGTCGGACGCAGACTGCTAGCCTGACTGATCAGTCGGTTTAACACAACAATTGGTTTCTCCTAAGAACAAAGCGGGAAGCGAAGATATGGAAGCAAGTGCATTGAACGCGTCCCAACAGAGTATCATTGTAAGGGGGTCTGAACGGTTTGGGAGACCCATGTTACGTCACCTGAGGACCTTCCATCAACTGATGAGACTCTCGCGAGAGATAGAGAACGTTCCAGATTTTGACAGACAAGACGGTCGTGAGACGTGCCAGCTGATTTGTAGAAATCTTGGAGCGCTCTGTTCATGTTACCTGAAAGACCAAAGTCTTTTGAAGACAAGAGAACCAAAATAGCTCAACCTTACCATTTTCGCGATCGCATCGCGAGCAGCCAGCATCTTCCACCCCGCCATCGATCCGGACCGGTCTACGACAAAGACGACGTCTCGGGGGGTCTTTCCTCCAGCGTTTCCGGCCCCCTGCGGCGCGACCAGCGTCAGGTGCCACGTGCCCTCCTCTGATTCGTCATCCGCATCGTCAGACATCATAAGCGATGCCGTCACTTTCTCAAGAGCGCTGTTGTCAACCACGTTGAAGCGCAGAATGAAGTCTCGGTTCAGGCGGCAGTCCCCGGTGGGATCCAATCTGAGCCGTCGGATGGCGAGAGTGGGTGACGTGGCGGTTTGGGAGACGTCGGAAACTTCGACGGTGTGCAGGCTGCAGCGGACGTTGGAGACCGGCAGCGAGGTGACGTCAAATTCGACCTGCAAACAATGAAAGTGACGTCAGCTGCCATTGCTTCAAGTTCAGTCCATCAAATATCGTGGCCTTTCTGCACATCCCTTTTACCCCAATTGATTGGAGCATCTGTGTAAGGACCAAAACGGGTTGAAGACAATCCTGCCGTTCGTTGGTCAAGAAGTGGAACAACTATCAAAGACGGCAACTTTTTGTCAGCAACAAGGAGCAGCAGAGGTAAATCCTCCCTGGAGCCACTCGCAAATGTCGCCCAAGGGTTGCGCCGAACGGGTTGCCTGCAACTGCGAAGCAGTCACTCGTTCAAAGTACATCTGAAGAGCCCGGCAGCATTTGATCAGAAAGCTAAGGGTTCGACGCTGCTCCAAGAAATATCTAAGAGCTTCTATTCAGGGACCCATTTGACTGATGTCCCAAAATCGCCGACAGCTGAAAGTAAGAGTGACCTGGCAGCTCAACGAACAAAGAGCATTTAGGCCTGATGCAGGACTTTCAAGAAAGAAGGCGCACAGATCAAGAACCTAGCATGCAGAAGGAGTTCGCCTTTATGCATCAGAGCCGACGGAAGTCCCGGACAAGTCGACAGCTCAAATCGCTCTGTGCTGCGTTGACCGGCTACGATTGAGATGAAATTCCACGCCTGCATCCTCCTCACCTCAATGCCCAGATGAATCGGGTCCGGAAAGCCTGGCAGTGTCACACGCTGCGGGGGGGTGATCCTCGACGCGTCGGGGGTCTCGTTTGTGTCCTTCCCGACCCCCCCACCAACGTCCATTCCGCTGAGTCCGACCCCCGGAATGTAGCGTGGGGCCACTAGGAGCGGAAAACGGAATGTCGCTTCGCCGTCGGCAAAGGGGAGGGGCGCAGCCATTGTGAGACGAACGGAAGCGATCTCGCCGGAGCCGATGTTGCCGACACGGATGGAGAAGACCTGCGGGTTACAAGGAGAGTTTGAGCAGGAAAGCTGGATTCAAAACTGGCTGAGAGCTTAGGGAGTGAAGTGAAGGAAGCTCCTCTAGGACTTACAAACAAAAGTCGTTGGCGCAAAGAGCGGATATTGCCAACCCGGATGAGAAGGATCAAGAAGGGTTGAGCTGCGGTCCTCGAGAGCGAAGATTTGTCGGTGCAAAGATGGTTGGGGGGATCTCGCGACGGTCAGGAAGGGTGTCAGCGAGACGGTTGAAGTGAAAAACATCTTGGAGAATTATTCTGGCTCGATCTCGTGAGTCAGCTTCGGTTGACAGTCTAAAACCGGGGTTCCGATCTGGTCGGAGAAGGCTACGAAAAATTCAGGCTGTTGATCAAGGAAAGTACGAAGCAGGCTTGCAGTGGGACAGGGGCCTTGGAAGCGTAGTACCACTCGACAAAAACAGAAGAGATCAAAATGTCTTTTAAATCGCAAGCGGGATTTGGAAGCTTGCGCCGTACACTGAATGAATCCAGTGGAACAGCTTTTGGACAGTAGTTTGACAGGAGGAAGGGAGCGTGGGGTAACAGGAGAACCAAGTTGGGTACTGGTGCGGAGCGCGTGAGACTCTGTTTTACCTCCTTTTGATTTCAACATTTAAGCTCTACTCCCCACTGGGCTTACTGTCCATGAATCGAGCATCACGGAAGGATGCTCGGACTTTCACTAGCTGATTCCTAACTGGTATGCAACCAATCGGAGCTAGTGAGCAAGCAGCGGTGACCTCAATTTTGACGTGACATGTGTTCTGCCATTCTGCAAACGGATCCTTCTCTTCAAAAGGGCAATACTCTCTACCAGTGAACCTCAATCCTGATTTGACATGTGTTCTGCCATTCTGCCAAATGGATCCTTCTCTTCAAAAGGGCAATGCTCTCTGTAGGAGGGCTGTGATAGGCCAAGCTTTGATTCTACTCCGTGCCAAAGAATTTACTGCAGTTCTTCAATAAGTCTTTTGCAAACCATGCACAGGAGGATGACCAGCATCGCAGGCTTTGTACCGAAGCACAGGTTTGCTTTGCCGGCACAGGCTGAGTTTCGATACAAGCATACAATTGGTGAACAAGAACACACCTGCGCTGTCCGCCAGCCTGTGTATTCTAGCATTCTTAGAATAAGCACATTCTGGTGTAAGAGCAGAGCAAAAGCAACAAGCAAAACATTCTGAATGCACTCACCCCTTGCCGCTCCTCTTCGGCTATTGCCGCCCTATGGCCAGTCTGCACCGCCTGACTGTACTCTTGCCTTGCCTCCCCCCTCTCTTTAATAACTCCCTCCACAACCCGGTTCTTAACCTCCAGCCGGAATGACGTCACCGCCGCTTGCGGAGGGAGCGGGAAAATGTAGGTCGCCTCCAGGGGAGTGTCAAAGGCGTTCAGGAAGGTCTGGTCCAGTGTGACGTGGCTGCAGAGTCCTGTGAGCTTGGCAAACACCTGCAGAAGGACATGTGTTTGAAAAGGACAACGGAATGTGTTCTAGGTTACTGGACCTAATTTGAATCTTGGAAGCTCTGAGAATGTGCTATCCCACCTGGTAGGTAACTTGAGTACCTGCAATTTGAATCACTCGTCTTAGCGCATGGTTGAGAGACACAACCATTTGACAGCTGAGGAACACCGGCTTGCTTGAGAGTTCCCATTTTTGAGAGGCTGTAGCTCGTGAGTGGTGGACAGTACTGTGCTTCAACAGGTTCTGCACGGACACAAGTGAGGCACAAGTGAAGGTAATTTTGCGATCACTCCTGTTAATGGAGGGGGAATGGCCATCCGCACTAAAGTGTACCATTTGACAGGTGAAAACAGCTCCTGGCTTGCTTGATACCTTTCAACATTTAGAGATGTAGCTCGAGACCGGTGGACAACACTGGGCTTCAACAGGTTTGTTCTGAACAAACTCAAGGGTGGGATAAGAAGGGACAGAGGCATTTGGGGCAGATTCCAGAGCGTGGTGTGAAGGCGGTTGAATCCTGTAGAGTTGGAAGTGCAATAGTCTGCTCTGAAACGTGAAGGAAAGGGTCTCAGATCTTATAGGCTGACAGTAGGTGCATAATGACTCGCACTTAAGAAAATCAGAAATTAATGTGGACTCCAAAGCTGTCTTTGTTTTACTGATGTGTGCACACATTCTGAAGGATCTGCATGTAGTGTTGAAACACACACCATGTTCTCTACCCTTCTGAATTCAACGTAAATGCAAAATGAATAGCTCGAGACTGAACCCCAGCAAGCCCCCAGCAGACAGAAGTTTACGAATGACCAAGGTCAATATCGCACTCACCTTGACAGAGCGCAATGGAAACATGCCTCTCTCAGATGCCAGAGCCCCAAACCCCGCCTCCTTGTCCTCTTCAGTCTCTCGCGCTGCATTGATTTCGTCGTCTGACATCATGCTGACAGCGGTCGCCATCTTCTGCGAAAACTCTTGGGTCGCTGGTACGACTGTCATACTTCCGTCCAGGGTACAGGATATGTTCTGTTCTCTCAGATTTTGTGCGCTCTTTTGAAAGCTGTTGCCCGCTGAGGTGTGCCATTCTTGGAGCTTCGAACTTGAAGCTGGAAGAAAGGCCTGGATGATCCCCGCATTTTGCGAGCTTGGACCTTCAACTTGCAAGCTACCGTCTTGTCACTTGTGGCCGTTGATTTGAGCTTTCTTGGTCCACTTGTAGGCTGTACGCCGTAGATATCCGTCATCATCCCAGATCTGTTCACTGAACGTGACATGCGGTTGCGTCACCAAGCAGATTCCCAAACCTTTGCCAGGAAGCCGTGGCGCCGGACAGCCGCACACGCGGGTCGGCCGGCCGCGGCTGCCGTCCAAGCCCCGTCCAAGTCGCTTAATACCGTACTAAGTGGAACGGTATGAATCCGAATCGTTCAAAATGGTACTTATTTAATCGAATACGACCTGTTTTGCCGATTTATTCAATGAATCCGACCCTGAATCCGAATTTGCTCGGTAGCTCTCACCGAGCGCGTTTTTGCCCCATATCTGCGTCAATGAGGCTGCCGGGCTATTTCTTTGAGAATCCGACCGCAACTAAGCAATTATTTATTGAATCCGAAAATCCACTTTCCGAATTACTGGAATTAAAAACAGGTAATGTAACGACTCCTTGCACTGTCAGCTCAAAAATATAAGGGGGGACATTTCGAGGGGGTCAAGGATTTACTTTTGATGACCTTGACATGCGGACAAGGCGTGTTCAAATGTCTACAATGAAAGGACGAAGGCCTGTTCAATATTGTACATCTACGAGTGCGCAACTCTCAGCGTTGCGTCCAAGTACCACATAACGTGCGAGCTCCGAGTTCCTACACATAAATCATCTTACCGCCAGCTGTCAACCAGTCCAACAGACATTTTGAGCTGTTTCAGTCCTTTCATGGTCCCGTCTCAATCTGTGTGTCAATCTGCCAGGCCGTTTGTGATACATTTCCTCACCTACGGCGGATCCTATCTCAGATGTCTCCGTCCGTCTGAAGATTCTTCAGCCTACCCGGCACTCCTCACCTTCTGCGCGTTGCCCCATCAATGACCCGAACGGAAAGCAACATGGTGTCAGCGGAGATCTCTCTGTCTGCGACTGCTGGACGTGCACGTCCGTGCAACAGCAAGGAATGCTTCCCTTATGACATGACAGCTTATAACCCAACGAGAGCACGGGCCCAGGAGGAGTACAGAAGATTTCTCACGAATCTCCGCCCTGAAAAAGGACGGTGGTATTCCTTCGGCCTGAACCACGGAACTGAGTCCTTTACGAACGGCGAAGAGCCAACTCACCTCCTGCGTCTTGTCCTTGAAAATGGCCTCTCACCATTGTAACCCCGGTCCACTAACCGTCCACTAACCCCCCGCTCTCCCCCGGCCCAGTCCGTACTCTCGGTCGAAAGCCGCTTCTTTCCCGGCAGATTACGCGCCGCTCAGTCGCTCGGATCCAAAGAACAGATTTACCGCGTCACTCGGCCCCCTCCGATTTGAGTGTT